GTGTGCTTATTAATGAGGCTCGTCTCGCTGTCGTAATTCGTCCACAAAGGTCAGCATGTACAGTTAATGATCGTTGGCGCTGCTGTCTTAATAAAGAGCCTCGTGGCTACACTCACAAACATGAATGGCTTATATTGTCCAAATTAAGACATTTTCTGTCCGTACCCCTGATACACCCTTTTTCTCAGTGCGAAACTGGGTCAAAGAGTGCATTGCTACTTGGACAAAATTTCATTCATTTCTGTGAATGTACTGCTGCTGCTACTGCTCCTAAGTTGCTACTTCTTCAATGCAATCAACTGAACTTGAATATCACCAGTTTTTGAAACCAATAACTAATTACAATGAGTTCGCATGGGACTTTTTAGTGAAAATTTAAAATGAAAGTTTACCAGCGTTGAGTGTGAAGGCAGCACAGGAGCAGCGCAGCAACCGCAGGTAATCTCGGTATACAATTGTTTACTTGCCTTGCTTATAAAACCTTCAGAAAAAAGTTATATAGATAAGTTAGGTCAAACCTAACCTATCCAAAAGCAATGCCATGAACAGGATAAAAGATTTCATCAGACATGGTGGATACCGTCAAGTGGGGTGACTTCGGCTACCGGGAGTGACTTCGGCCACACCTACAACAGAAACAAATGGCAGCAAAATAAAATAATAAACGTTGGCCAAAGTCACCCCGGTGGTCAAAGTCACCTGGCAGTCACTTTGGCCAACGTTTATTTTGTATTGCTGACATTTGTTTCTATTGTAGTGGTAGCAAAGTCACCCCACTTGACGGTACTGAGAAGTAGAAGCATACTGAGGCATTAAATTAGAAGAGGTTTCAATTGTTGATGATAATAAATGCGAAGCGACTGAACGATTGCTACCAAGATTATGCGCCCCAGGCCACGCTCACAATCGTAGTAGTGATTATTATTAAATAAGCTAATAATGAGTTAGTCTAGTTACAGTAGTGATATTACTAGCAGAACAAGTCCTCGTGGAATATATAGTGACCACGACCGAAGCACAGTCTCCGGGACAGTATTTTTTGTAAGATACGATAACATCGTATCTTGCACCGTATCTCGCGATACGATAACATCGTATCTTGCACCGTATCCCGCGATACGATAACATCGAAAGATTTCACCGTATCTCGCGATACGATAACATCGAAAGATTTCACCGTATCTCGCGATACGATAACATCGAAAGATTTCACCGTATCTCGCGATACTCGCTCATCAGTGGTAGCTGGTAAAGCAGTGATTCCCAAAATGAGCGTTAATTACCACCTTCGGGGTAATTAATACATTTATTGGGATATAACGCAGGCGGTGATATAATAATGAATGGATCAGTGGATTTAATTTCACAATTTAAATAAATGCAAATGGCATATCCTCTGTTTGGGAACCACTACGTAGCAGCAAGTAACTCTCAACTCGTACGCCTTAACTCAAAGCTAAGCGAGGCATGACAAATTAACTGCAAACACAAATTAGCTTCATCGGTCTTAACATCAACCCTGAATCGCGAGAAAAAAACTTAATTAATCTACTAGTTACATCGCAATAACTGCAGTCAACGACAAAAATCAGGAGAATAATTCAAGCAAATAACACTTGCATCGGCCATATCACCAGATCTTAACAGAAGTTTTACTCGACAAAATATTAGGAGACAATGTTGGCATTGTCACAGTGACTCGAACCAGACGACTGCAATTCGATCTCGAATTAGACGACTGCAATTCGATTTACGGTATGAAGATCCTCATATTCTCAACAATGAGTTGACTCAAAGCTCTCCCGACGTAGGCCAGTATAGACTGCAACCAATGAGATAATCCTTCAATTTCAGTAACTCCGCAGGATCCAGCATTGCCTACTTCATTGCACCAATAGCTGATCCAAAATTAGGAGACTTATTTGTGCAACAGAATCAATGTACATGCCTCACCAAACCTCTCATTAGCATAGCCTTGATAATTATCTAATCCGCAATTACAAACAAAAGCTCAAAATGGAAACTGAAAGATCTTCTCTAAATGCGAAGATTCAAATAAATAAAGAACAGATAAATAAGCACCTTCGAGACAAAAGAATGCATCTTCTTAACCGGCGGGCTAAAGCTGTATTTTCAGGGAGAAAGCTGAACATCTGAATGTCAACACACCAATCTACTTCTCAATAAATCCTAATACTTTTCAACACACTTCCCTATTTTTCAGCACTGATCAATTAATAGTCTAACCAAGAAGCGACATAAATCTCATATCAAATTCGCTACCTTATCAAGTCCTCTTGTATCTAACTGAATCTTCATTCAAAAGCCCGTTTTGAAGCCAAGATGTTTACCGAAAATCTTGACCAAATGCCCCAATAAATCAATATCACTGCCATACTCGACAACTCTCCACAGCACGGCATCAGAATTAATAACAGCGGTTTCAGCGTTCATTAGGCCGTAGGCCTGTTGCCTCACTGCTCCAATTTTGCTTTATTTAACCGCCCGACCTCCTAGCCGATTCTAACCTGAAACTGTCGCAGGTAGCTGGGATCGAGCCCGCACCTCTCTGCTCCATTCTTATTACTCTGAACTGTACCCACAGGGCCCCTCTGCCCAGTGATCAAAACAATGAAATCAAGTCGATTAGCAAATCCAGCTCAAAACTAACTCACCATGACAAGGATCAGCGCTGAACTACCCATTATATTTTATAATTTAAGTTCACCACAAATCCAACATAGTGCCATGTCCACTTAAAATGGTTCTCCCTCGAGACACGTTATCCTTGTAGAAGCATTGCGCAGCTCCTACCTTATTATCTTATTCCTCCACTAAAAGAGAAAACACGCACCAGAACACAGCAAGAAGCGAGGGTTATTCACATCATGTTTGATGTTCCGCCAGAAACGATGCTACAAGTTAACACCGTAGAAGTAGGGAAAAGTATATGGAACACGTATACTTGTTATCACTATTCTAAGCCCCTCGGGTTAATACAAAGTTAACGAATCATGAAATTGGATAATATAAACATCACCAAAAGAAAATCACAAACGGCAATTTTATTTCCTATTTCCCAGATAGTGGAGGCAACGAAGCCACAAAATTTCCTATCTGAATCAAAGGGATATGAACGCAAACATCATCGTAGAAACAATCAAGTTAAATGAACGTTAGTGATGGACTTGTTCGAAAAAATCAAACCTCACAATGAAGTCACAATTAGTGATAAGGAGTTAGAAACTTTATTTAAGCCAATAGAACGAGCTAACGCTGAACAAACTAAGAAGCGACAACATTGCTGCCAGATATAGTAAATATTTCTCCTTGTAATCGACTCGTATTTTCCAAAGTCACTAATTTATTTAGAAAATAAGATTTATTTTTGTCACTTTTAAATGATTTTGGTCTCAACGAGAGAAGCTGTAGACGGTAAATAATACCACTGGCACAGCGTAAAAATGAAGACCAATGATACACTGAGACACCATCACGCAAATTTTGTAAGAACTTGCTGACGGTAAGATATAGTAAATCCCAACACGAAATTCAAAGGTTTGAAGAACAAATTGCCTTTACGAACTGAAGCTAAAACAGTTATAAGCTCATTAGCTGGACAAGAGTTCATCCAGATAGATTATTAGCAATCGTTAATAGGTTCATCAATGCATATGGGCAACAGTAAGCACGATCTCAACGAGCTGAAGGCCCTTCCATCAATTATGAAAATACAATACACAATGATCTTAACGGCAACCACCATCGACCATCCACGATCGATGATGATAAGATGTTATTCCGATGGTCGGGACAAAGTCTAAAATGATCAATATATGAAACATGATCATATCCAGAGGAATTACAGTAATAAACTTTAGTTCCTAATGAATAAGATGAGTGGACGTAAGCTCATCAACCGTCAATAGTTGGTAACAATGATTCGTCGGGCATCCGCTTAACGCAGTGACAATGTTAGCTCAAATTACTTCCGCTACCCGACAGCATGCACTGCAGCACGTTGCGTAGCAATACAAGTAGAGAACGCTGATTCAATCACTGACAAGATCGTAACATATTGACAGAGATCTGATCAGGAGACGAATATCTCAAGATGATCGTCGGCTGAGGTCAAGACGCCCATCGCAGTTGGGTCTTTCTACTAATTTCGTTCAGGTTTTATCCACGTGCACGGCGGCAGGTCGCTTCAATAATTAATCAATACAAGCTCTGCTCAGTACAAAATGACAGAGATCCGTTCAAGAGGCCAATTTGTTCGAAGTGGCACTACCGATACAAGTTATAGAGTAGCATTCTCGTACAATGTTCATGGCCATCATCAGTAGTTGTCATTATCGCCAGTCTGGTGAGAGCTTTTGTTGACGTTATATTCACTCGTCTCATCGCCGATGCGACACATTAAGAATAACTTGCGGGCGCTCCAACAAAAACTGCGAATCATATATGCAATGTAATTATAAATCATGAGACGACGCTAAAGCTTAAACATCTGTACTGTTTACACAGAAGTCCAAGAAGTTATGTTGAAATAATAGAACTAAATCAAAAACGGGCAAATAATAAAAGAACCGCAACGTTCTAATGCCGCTTCATAACGAGTGAAACTTTTTCACACAAAGCTAATGAGAATTTTGGGATTTGAACAACACTTTAGAAAGAAATGCAAGACAACGTAAACAAGGAGCACCACTAACACAACGTCAACAAAAGCTTGGCAGGGACACAAGCTTAGGCTTTAGCGGCGCTCGACGAGTCATTGGGTTCACGTCGGGGAGGGTGGGAGGTCTTACTGGGGGGGACTTTATTAGATTGAATTTTAGCCGCTGATCCGGCGAGGGGAGGAGCAGGAAATGATCCATGCCCGTTGTGTTGAACTAAGTTGTTGTCTACCCTGCCGCTGCTGCTTCCTCCTCTCCCTCTACCACCCCTACCACCACGCCTGCCACCATCCCCTTCCTCCATGTGGTGCAGGTGGTTACCCCCGCGTTGAGGTCGCTGGTCCATGTGGTGGTTGTAGTCGTGGGGTCCCCGATACGGAGGGCCTGATCCCCCAGGAGGACCTGATCCCCCACCATCACCCCCTCCTCGTCCTCGACTACCCCCCCTTCCTCGCCCACGGCCTCTTCCCCCGCCACCACGACCGCCGCTGCCGTCGTAGTCGCTCGCGTATCCTCTGCAATTCAAAATTTTCATGATAAATATGTCTAACATTTATTGCACTATTTTAATTATACCATTTATACTGATTTTCTCTGCTTGCCAATAACAAACCGCCAGTCATCATCGGTTCAGTATCCTAATCATCCTACTAACTTTAAGACGAAGGAATGCAAGGAATGTGAAGTCGTTGCTCATTGCTCATCAGAATTCATTTTTACACATTCATCAACATTTTTAGCATTCACAATGCATGTATTACTTTTCTCCGGTCAGGTTAGGTAGCACTTAACAGCTTCAAGTCAATGCGTACAATTTACTGCAGTAATAACAATATATACAAATATCCAACAGAGAATATGAGAAAACATGTAATAAATCAGTAGTTCTAAAGAGCAGTGGCTATGTCGTTATCGATAAAAATACAGCGCAGCTGTTTTTTTTTTTTTTTGACAAGAATAATTTTTTGGTGCAACTGAGTGCTAAGTTCCTTCTTTTTGCAGGTACAATGCAGAATAATGGCTACTATTGTAATAACTATGTATCTTTACTGTATCCCATGATTCAATAAATTAAGACCCAGAAAACGCAGTACAGTTGGCGCTCTTAAGTGTAAGCGTTCTCACAATTAGCTTCATAATTCAACTCTTTAAGCAGATAAAATAAAGAAAATGAGTCTGTAAGCCACACTTTTCTTAGGAAAGTTGGCGGTTCTTTCACGATTGTCTCGTCCCTGTAATAGGATTGATAGAAGATGTGTCCGTATTTTTAGCACATTTTCTTATTTATGGAAAAAAAGGCGCCATTGTGCTCGCCATGTCCGTCCATACGTCCGTATGTCCGTCCGTGACTTCGCGTTTTCGTCGACGAGAAAATGTGCTTTAAGTCACTCACTGCAGTGAGTACCTACTAAGTTATATTTTTTAATTTCTTTGACACAGTAATGATACTTGGATGCTTCCTATAAAACGCATCCTTATCAGGGACATTAGCGTACTGATAGCAGATTAAATAAAACGCCATGACGTATTCGTGTTAAATTGATAAAAATGAAGCATTAACAGAAACCCTCTGCAACCTGCGGAATGGTTGTGCCTTAATAACCAGTTTATTCGTTAATTTTGAATGTCTCAAAAAATTACGAAATTATCCGCTAACTCGTGACCAATGAAAGCAGAAGATATTCCTTAAATTTTTTTAACTATATGAATTCTCCATTCATTTTTTTAGCTATATTTTGTTCGGAGACTTTTAGCTATATATATCGTCAGTTATGGGAATATTGATTTTAAAAGGCCGGATCACTTGTGGAATCAAATCACGAAAAGTATAGGAATCGGCAACAGGCCACGGGCCTATTTCTTCAGTGCCAAATTCTATATGAATTCTCCAACTAAATTAAATTTCGGTAATTACTTGCGGATAAAGAGAAATTGAGTGCGTCAAGTCACCTGTCGTTACGTCGAGGACCGCCATAGAAGGGGTTGCCCCCCATGCTGGGGCCGGGACCGCCCATTGTGTTGTGACTGCGTAGCTTGTTGTCGATCTCAAGCTTCTCCTGCCGCAGCTGCTCGACTTCCTGCACAGCAAAAATGGGTCAACACTAACAAAGTGCAGCACCAACACTAGGTTGACATCAACATCAACACCAGGTCAACATCAGCACAAACAGCACGTCAACATCCACACCAACACCGACACACGTCAAAATCTGCATTCACACATTTCAACATCAGCACCAACATGGGGGGTAAACATCAACACCAACAATTGTCAGCACCAACACTGGGTTAACATCAACACCCACACACTTCAACATAACCACGAACACACGTCAAACATCAGCACCAACATCAGATCAACGTCGGCACAAACCGCGTCAACATCCACAACACCAACACATGCCAAAAATCTGTATTCACACATTTCAAAATCAGCACCAACACTTCTCTAAATGTGTAAACAACAAACATAAGCACTAATAAGTGATGAAGAAATAAGCACTCCTAGTGGAAGCCATTAGCTTTGAATTACACCAGCTAATATCAACAGACTATCAGCACACCAACACATCCTAAATCATTCGGCTCATAGGATTTGGAGTCCTGCAATCAGCTCGAAGTTTAAAGTGACAGTAGCAGATTGGTGAGCATGAGGCACCCACCTCCAGATGATTGAGATGATAGTCGAGCAGGAGGCAGGCGTTGTTGATGGCCTCCATGGTTCCGACGAACACAAAGGGCACCTGCCCCTCCTCGCGGCGGCTGCTCGGCTCTGCAGGGTGGACATCTCGTTTAACAATGGCCATAAGACTAACTTACAGAAGAACAATTATAATAAAGTAGAAATTATCAAGCTTAAGAAAATAACTAATAGAAATATTACATTCTATGTTCTAGATGGTGGAGCCAATGACGCCACAACAGAAAACTTTTCCCTCCGAAATGAATGCATATATGTAAACAGTAAGACCACGCCAAATTATACATAAATAAGACTCATAATCTTACACCACGGTGACGTAATATAAAGGCTCTTGCTTATTGATTGGCAATAAAATATCTGGCTGGCTACACATACGTTGACTGTTGTTAATGCTATTTGTATGATAAGGCCTTGAATCCACTCGAGATTGTCAAATTAATTTCCATCAAAAACGTAGAATAATCAAATAACCAAGACATTTCACACTTTTCACTTCAAAATATTGTCATCTCGAATTCAGGTGGCAAAAAAACTAGTCTATAATTTACCACTAAACCCATACTGCGGTAACAGCACAAGTCAAACGAAGCGTTTTCAGAAAATAGTGTTTCAAACAGAAAGTTCAACTACGACCAAAAGTCAACCAACACTTCAAAGAGCCAAAACGATGGCTTAGTAGTAAATATATTCAACGATTCAAAACGTACCAAAATATGAAATCTGAAATTAATCTGATATCTCAAGCGTGCAGACCAGCTGCTATCTTTAATTTCTCCGGATGTCATTAAGGTTTTCCTGTACGGGAGGTTCAGATGTGTTGGAAGCAATTGACCGACACGATTTGGCTATATCACCATTGCCCACCTCACTTCCGGGCTCACACAATAGTTCTCCCAATGCACTGCCCTACTAGACCCCATAACATTCTCATCGACACAATTCCAGTATTAAGTATAACTTTAATGAGGCGAGAAGACGCTGCCATACTCAACCCCCGACCATTCTCATCGCCACACTTCCAGTATTAAGTTTTACAGTAATGAGGCGAGAAGACGCTGCCATATTCAACCCCCGACCATTCTCATCGCCACACTTGCAGTATTAAGCTTTACATTAATGAGGCGAGAAGACGCTGCCATACACAACCCCCCACCATTCTCATCGCCACACTTCCAGCTTTAAGCTTTACATTAACGAGGCGAGAAGACGCTGTTCTCACCGTAGTGTTGCTGCTCACCAGGCTCACTATCGCCCTCTATCTTGACTCTCACGACGCCACTCTTGTCCACCATCTCCTGGATAATGCGGCCATTCTTGCCAATAACTTTCCCGACGACGGCGCGTGGCACCTGCACTGACCGCTCGTTGTATTCCAGCAGCTCTCGGGCCTTGCTTACCGCCGCCGACGACTGTAGGCAGACAGTAGTTCAGACAGTGCCTACAGTAGTTCAGGACAGTAGTTCAGAAAAGTGGCTAGTAAATGCGCACTGAACATTCATTGAAAGTTATATTAAAATCCGCGGACAGTAGTTCAGAAAAATGGCTAGTAAAAGTGCATGGAACATTCATGGAAAGTTCTATTAAAATCCGCAGACAGTAGCTCAGAAAAATGGCCAACAAACGTGCACTGAACATTCATTGAATGTTTTATTAAACTCAATTCGAAGTGGCAACCAAACGCGATTTAGTGAAAGTAATAGAGCGTCATTCATTGAACCATAAAATGAAACTTCGTCAAATCGCTGAATGGCATTCATTAACCTGGCAAGTGATACTTTACGGATTCATCAATTTTATAGTAATTCAACTAAATTAATTATAAGTAAAAACAAAAAAAAAATACTGTGCCTGACCTCTCCCTGGATTTTAAAGTAGTTCTCCTCGACATCTATGGAGAAAATCCCGGGAACTTTGCGTGCCTGCTGAATGTTGGCGCCATGACAGCCGATGGCCAAACCCATGAGATCCATCGGCACGCAGAACTCTGCCACGTGCCTACGGGGGAACATGCATTGTCAAATTAAGATCTCTAGACCGCAAGATCTGAAGACCACAAGATCTCTAGACCACAAGACCATAAGATCTCTAGACCACAAAGATGACCGCTTCCATAGTCGGAGAATCACAAGTTCTGGGGTGCGCAAATCTACATCCTTCAAACTTTTCCCTTGTTCACGTTTCTTTTGAAGGTATTTCCAGCAGATCAAATACCTTTTTCCAACACGTGGCCTGCCTGAAAGTATATCAACATTCTGGGAGGATGGTAAGGTTTGGGAAAGATGATGGCAATCCAATATCCTGATCCAGACTAACTACCAAGCACCACTCACAAGTGACAACGAAAAATGCAATAAATTTCCAGGACTCAAACCAACAACTAGCTCCACTATTCTAGGTGCCACTGCCACTGCCTAACTTGCAGAAATCGTCACTTAGTCCATATAATCTGAGCAATGGATTAGGAATGAGGCATCCGGGTCACGATGAACTAAGACAGGAGGAATGTCATACCCGGATTGACTGTGAGGGAGGCTGGAAGAATGTAGCTGCTTGGCTGCCTCCTCTGTTCTGCTTAGCAGGACTAGCTTCTGCTTCATGCTGCGGAAGTGCATATCTGCTAGCATTTCCGCCTTCTTCTGAACACTTACGTCACTGCCCTGCAAACAACAAACCATGTTAATTATGATGATACGACAGTATTAACATTGAGCTCGCGGCTCTCATGATCCAAGGAATTATTGCCAGTGAAAAAAAGTTAACATATCAAGTCGATAATTGTTCTGAGGGGAAAGTAAAGCACATAAACATGAATAGATGGTGCCAACATCAGTGCCAGAATCTCTGCCGCGTTTTCGTTGTGGGCCATCCTGACTATCATCGTATGGTCTGGATCACAGACCCGCATCTCCCTGACCTGGGCTGCGGTCTGGATTTCTGGAGGGCGCCAGAGAACGGGCCAAGCGGCAGAGGCCCACCGGCGCCACGTGGCTACATTCTCTCTAAAGGTCTCGGAACCACGGTACTCTAACAGCTTTCTTTTTTTCTCTTCCCAATAGAGGCCTTTCACTCAAGACGAGGCAATGCTTGTGTGTGGTGCAGCAACACTTGGATACTCAAAACAGGAGGCAATGCTGGTGTGTGGTGCAGCAACACTGGGGTACTCACAACACGAGGCAATGCTGGTGTGTGGTGCAGCAACACTGGGGTACTCACAACACGAGGCAATGCTGGTGTGTGATGCAGCAACACTGGGGTACTTACAACACGAGGCAATGCTGGTGTGTGGTGCAGCAAGACTGGGGTACTCACAAACAAAACGAGGCAATGTTTTTCGTGATTGTATGAACAGCTGAGAGCGCCGCACGATTTCTTGAAAGCTTTATGTGAAGATTCGAGCGTGGCACGGGCATTTCTGAAACATTAATTAGTATCGTTATTTAATAGTAGGACATGAGGGAGTAACGTCAATTTAAATCCTGACCGCAGTTCCTTAACACTTAGGTTAAGTTACCTATCTGAATGTGTCACTAATAGCGAATTCCTGAAAAAATGCTGCTCAAGACACTACGCACACTTCTAATCTCTCTTAAACCAATTACCCATTTAGAAGTAATTGATCAATTTGCCAAGGGCAACATAGTGGTTGCCATTTCTGCATTTCAACATTTTATTTTTCCTACACATATTAATAAATAGAACATTAGATGAAGAGGTAAATAACATTTCCATTCACGACAAATCGAGTAACAAGGTTAGAAAGTTTGACAAGTATTTGCTCCCAAATTGGTATACCTTGGTTACCAAGTAACTCGTAAAGTTTCTCATAACTCAACACCAGCTAAACATTGCATCCAGAGCTATATAATTCCAAATGTTAGCTGTGCATTAAGTGCGTGTGTGTTGCCAACTGTATCTTGGTGGTAGCCAAGCTTTTCATCCATGGAGGATTCACGGCTCTATCCATGCACAGGGTGGAATATCGGAGGGGTAATACTACATGAACCAGTGCATTTGTTGTATTGAATCTAAAAATCTGAAACTATATTTTGCTTTTATACCTAGGTATTATATGGTAGTGATTAGGTTACCAGGCAGGATCAATTTTGAATATATTAACAATCATTTCTAAAATTTAAAGAAGATATAAAGGGCTCTAAAGGGTATGAAAGATTTAAAGGGCGCTATTCATAGATGTTGTGAAGGCCCACCTGTCGCGGAGGTCATCGGGTACGGGTATATCGAACTTGTGAAATGTGGAGGGGGTGATAGGGGGGTTAGTGTTCAGGGGGAAGAGTTTCTCGGTGGATGTAACTTTTTCTACTCCAGGCCCCGTGACGCCTTCCGCCGTGCGTCTATAAATCTCCACCACGCTGAAGCCTCCTTTGACTTCCTGCAGGGGAATAATAAACATATATACAAGGAGAGCGTCACATATACAAGGAGAGCGTCATATACAAGGAAAGCGTCACATATACAAGGAGAGCGTCACATATACAAGGAGAGTGTCATATACAAGGAAAGCCTCACATATACAAGGAGAGCGTCACATATACAAGGAGAGCGTCACATATACAAGGAGAGTGTCACACATGCAAGGAGAGTGTCACACATGCAAGGAGAGTGTCATATACAAGGAAAGCGTCACATATACAAGGAGAGCGTCACATATACAAGGAGAGCGTCACATATACAAGGAGAGTGTCACACATGCAAGGAGAGCGTCACAAATACAAAGAGAGCATCACAAATACAAAGAGCATCACATATACAAAGAGAGCATCACACATACAAAGAGAGCATCACATATACAAGGAGAGCATTACATATACAAGGAGAGGCTAGCATGTCTTAGTCTAAACTCAATCCCACTCAAGTGTTAGGAGACCAGGAATGGCGATATCATTTGACATGGGGGAAATTGTGTATGGAAATATTGTGTGGCACGGGGGAAATCATGTATGGAAATATTGTGCATCATGGGGGAAATCATGTAGGGAAATATTGTGAGGCATGGGGGAAATCGTGTATGGAAATTTTGTGTGGCATGGGGGAAATCATGTACGGAAATATTGTGTAGCATGGGGGAAATCGTGTATGGAAATATTGTGTAGCATGGGGGAAATCATGTAGGGAAATATTGTGAGGCATGGGGGAAATCGTGTATGGAATTATCATGTGGCATGAGGGAAAACAGTCTCCTCAGTTATTTAGGTCTCTCCCTAAGTCCTAGCAGCTCCTAAGTCTATAGTACTGCTAATAGGTTATGAATCAAAAAATTATTTGCACTTAAAATTACTGAATAAGTGAAAATGGTTGAATTGTTGAGTTTTAATTAGAACAGAAGACACAGCATTCATCAAATAACCCCACCATAAATTAGAACAGTGCAAGCATTAATCAACAGATGCACAAGCTTTTGAAACTTGTCAGTCACAATAAGTTCAACACTATTGATACAGATGACTGAATTGAAAGGCCAACAATATTGCTCACTCCTACATTACAACACCTAAAAAAATCAATAGATATAAAGGATCATTCACCTCAGTTTGAGAGGCACTGCAAGAAATAAAGACTTACCTTAACTACAGCCTTCCAGTAACATCCTACATTACAACCCTTAAAAAATCAATAGATATAAAGGATCGTTCACCTCAGTTTAAAAGGCACTGCAACAACTAAAGACTTACCTTAACTACAGCCTTCCAGTAACATCCTACATTACAACCCCTAAAAAATGAATAGATATAAAGGATCATTCACCTCAGTTTGAGAGACACTGCAACAAATAAAGACTTACCTTAACTACAGCCTTCCAGTAACAAGGACCAGGGGCATCAAGGAGCTGATCATAAACCTCCACCTCTGAGCCGGGTGAAAACTCGGGTACAGGCTGAGATGAGGGCACGCTCGGCAGCCTGACATTACTCATGGGCAGTCTTGCGACCTGCACATCATGTGATGGGTTAGCAAAATTCTGAAGTAGCTTTGCACGCACAGGTTAGTCTGGCCACTTGCACATCACACAGTTCAAAATAATTATGGAAAATCAGTCTGACCATCAATCTAGTGGCAAGCCTACCCATGAAAATTAACCTTTTTTCAGCTTATTCCATATATAGGCATTCAGTTTCTTGTGTTACATTGGAAAAAAACTTGCAGTGTTCAATTTTATAAGCTGGCCAGGTACTAAAATGACAGTCAGACTGTTTCATGGCATTTTTAGTGCATTTTCTCATTTATGGAAAAAAGGTGCTATTGTGCTCATCAGGTCCGTCCATGACTTCATGGGCGGACGGACGAGAAAATGTGTGCTCCGTCACTCACTGCAGTGAGTACTGATCTAATTTTTTTCACATTGCACATCAGGTATCAGGGATAAGCCAAAAGCCACAAAAAAACTACCATGGCAGCATAGCATAACAAGTGATGACGTGATGAATTAATGAAACAAGTGCATTCCTCCAAACTTCACAGACAGATTAGGCACAATATTTCTATAAACACAATTTTTCTATTTAAAAATATCTAAGTGATCTACCATTTGGCAGGCTCTATTACAGAAAATATTTCCACATAATGACTTGTATAGATATTAATGAAGATAAACCAATCATTCAAGTCAAAACATCTTAACAGCAGAGCAAGATATGCAAGAAAGAAGGTACTGATGAATATTATAGGTTTCTGATAAAGAAATAAATTGGATTGCAAACTTTCCAAAATAGGCTCAACCACAAGAAATATTCAGGACTAGCTTATTTAAGCTCAGTGGTAGGGGGGCAATTTTGGATGACAGCATATAGCAACAACTAGATTGGCTCAAAAAAAATCTGATCAACTAAATTATGTGTTCTCAACACGAGAATATGAGACAAGCAACAATTTACTGTAAATGTTTACACATGGAAACTTGCTTAAACTACATACCTCTTCAGATGCTGCCCATTCACCTACAAATTTAATAGAAAGTGTGCTGTCTCCAACATCAACGATGTTTGCCTGAAAGAAAAAGTAATGAATATAATAATAAACTCAGGTGAAGCAATAATTTATAAAATCAACAATTTCAAAGTGCCCAATTCTGGGTTCAAATACAGCTTAGTAGTGGAGTACATATGTAATTTATTCATTACTCTTATTAACATCATACTATGCATCAATCATTAAATTTTTTAATCTTAGCATTCATCTTATCTAGAAAATAGAAATTACATGCATACTGTGATGAAAGATGATTTCAAGAATTCATCTCATTAATATAATCAATAAATACCATATGCCAAGAGTTAATAGTTAATAAAACTACAATAAAAGTAAATCCAAAATATTATTGGTAACTTGAATAAGATATTTACTCAAAGCCCTGAATGCCAGAGATTACCATGAAAGCCCAGAAGAACATGATAATTATAGACAGAAGATGTCAAATGAATGAGACCAAATGACCCAGCATATGACCAATTTCACCCTTGCCCCATGTCACAGCTAACTTCACCCTCACCCCATGTCACAGCCCACTCCCCCAGCTCCCCCATGCCAATGAACAAATTTTCCTAGAATTCCAACCACACATAAATAACTGCAATGAAATCAGATGACAGCTTCATGTCTGATTCATACTTATGGCAACACAGGCCATTGAATATCGAGTGCAAGCCTTGAAAAACACATTGCTTTTTGTAACAAGAAACTGCCCCACCCATTGTACAGTTTAATAAGCAGTAACTGACCACACTGCCCATTGTTCAGTTTAAGGGGACCGCCTACCCTAAAATTTTCAATTTTGGCGTTTTCTGGTTTTTGTGCTCATCTAAAAGCTTACTTTTTGACGCATCTAACGGTACCAGAATCATCCCTCTACGTCGAAAAATGATTTCGTAACAGCCCCCTGAAGGGAGGGAGTTTTTAGTTCCCTTCACAAAAGCCTATGGGATTAATTAGAAGGCTGGACACACTAAAAAGGTATGTCTGACGTAAAGCGGCCAATTATGGCATTAGCCGGTGCTTATACTCATCTTAAAGCTTACTTTCTGACGCTTCCATTGGTGGCAGAATCATCTTTCTACCTCCATTTTTACGTTCACCACGCCCCATGGAACGGGGGGATGGCGGGGGGCAGCCTTAACTAATTCCTAAGGCAGTAATTACGGGGCGTGACTTCATATACTGCCAGATGCACCCAGATCTTTCAGTGCCCATCATGACAGCGAGGTGAAAGGTGTGCAGCCACTCGCTCTATGCCTTCCTCACTTAGTTTTAAGGCTTAGTTTTGGTATGTTGGCCACGTTACGACTCTTTTTCGTCATTTTACGTGCCGCCCGGCAGTTTTTCGCGCGTGGTGAAAACCTCCGATTGGTCTCACAGCAAACCTATCTCCTCCTACAGTTTTCAAGCTACAGCAATGAGACATATACCATTCGATTCGTAAAGACCATACCTATAGACTCTGTGATCACTTTTTTTAATTTCATTCTGGTTCGTTTTTTATATGGGGGAGAAGGGGGGGAGGGGGTGAAAAATGAGAAAAATGGGGAAAATGCGCATAAAAAAAACTAAGGGGAAAATGAGAAAAGTGATCACAGAGTCTATAGGTATGGTCTTTACGAATAGAATGATATGTGTCTCGATGTTGTAGGATGATATTTGCAGGAGGAGATAGATTTTCTAAAGTGGGTACCCCTTTTTTAGCAGTTTTCTATGAATTTCACGTTTTCTATCAATTTTTTTGAAAAATTCATATGAGCAAAATGTTATTTTTTTTACATTTTACGTATGTATGTGAAGTTTCATGATGATCGGATATTACCTGTAGAAGTTTTTCCGGAGGGTAGACGGTCCCCTTAATAAATATCAAACGGTTGTCTAACTTGCTCTACAAACATTCAGGACTAATCACAATGACATGAAATAAACTGACCACCAAGCATATCTTTTATATCACACTCTTTTTTGTGATTATATACTGCAATCATGACACAATTTTTACATTCTTATGTCATTTTTGACATTCTTCCTGGAGAATGAGAAATAAACTTCACAGAGCTTTCTTGTAACTATTCTATAATAGCTCTACCCTAGGTATCTGTCTGATATTATTCTCCTATTTGGAGTTAATCTAATTTGAATACTTATTATACATTATTGGGTGCTAGCTCTGGCCCTCTGCCATTGTTATCACTTAGCAATTCTAACCCCAGTTCCAGCGTGAATGGTAAAATATTTCTACTTTCTGAGCTGTGACTCATGCTTTCTAGCACATTTTATTTTAGATTCACATTATTCCCACTAGATAAATTTCTCTTGTGTACTTGTAAACTAAAAAGGGCACAATCAAGCTACAAAATTTCAAAAATATAACAAATACATCACTTTAAATACAGACCAGAAGATTCAGCATTTTAGGTATTTAGTATTACCCATGGACCCGATTGGAAAAACCGAGATATCAGACCAACTAGTACATCTGTTAATGAACTCCGCAGGATGTTTAGGCTGTTAAAATTGTCACTAATTCCACAGGAAGCTCAAAGTATTAATATAATTCTAACTCAACTCCGTCACGCAATCCGGGAAACCAAATCCACAGAAAGTTACAAGGAAGAAGGAACAAGTGACAAGCGTCAGCTCAGCTGAATACCAGATGCGCACTGCAAACCGCAGCTGGTGCAGCAACTACTAGACCTGGCACGATGTTCATGCTTGTCGTAGAGCTCGAGAAAAATATCTTATGTGAACACAACCAATGTGTGAATGATTGGCTGTGCTCACCACAGCAAAAATACTACTTGGCAACTTTGCACTTGAACTTTAATCTACCAAGAGGCGAGGATGCCTTTATTTCCTGCTGTTCATGTGGCTACAAGATATAACTGATATTTTCACAATTTTTAAGGAACACTGAGTTTTCAAAGTATTTCATAATGAACTAAGTTTATTTCTACTAGTTAAATAAATTGATTATGTTTGCTCCAACATGCTTTTTCTGTCACTTTTCCTTTGCAACACATGCTATGCCCTGATAATGAAGTACAGCAATCCCTTGATTAACGCGGTTAATAAATCCCCGAGTTTTACCGTGTTAAGCAAAACCGCGCTAATCAAACTTAAGAATATATGGGAATAATTATAATGAATCCTCAAAAATAGCAAAGTTACATAATAATTTTTTTTCCACTAAAATTCATCATATTTTGCTTAGTTAAATTCATCATTCAAGCTTAGTCTCTAAAGTGATATTTTTAGGTTCAAGCAATCCCTTTTTTGTCCATAATTATGACAGTAATTTATCAAGGAAAATTATGTAGTTTGATAAAAGTGAGCAGTAGATATGGCAGCGATCTTGACCAGTTGAAGGCTAACGAGTAACTAGAGCACCGGCATGGCGCACTTACCGGCAAACGTTGCCGAGCTCGACCATTCGAGTTATGAACAAGACAAGGCGCAGTTAAACCGACTCTGTAGTCAGCACAAGTGCCTACGGAATGGGACCTTATTTAAAGAATTATCGACTGAAATTCATAAAGTAACAACATTTGGCGAATTTTTCCAAAAGTCGTAACAAAATTAACAACATAAGATCTAATAAGCAAAAAGTAACACTTTTGTTACGAATGTAACACCTCTGGCTAGAGGCGGGAAAATGATGCGTTGTGAAAAAAAAGTCGCGCTAATCAAAACTGTCACCGCGTAGATTAAGGGTAGGTCGCAAATTTTTTTTCCGCGTTAATCAAAACCGCAGTATTCAAAACCGTGCTAATCAAGGGATTGCTGTATAAACATACTCAAACGTATTTCATGATTTGGATTTCTTGCAGCATGTGATTTTGCCAATGCATCTTAGATTTTAATGAGAAGTCTTAAAATTTCTTCCTGAAATTTTATCAAGCAATACTGATAAAGTAATCATTTGTAACTAGTTATACAACATTAACTGGCAATTTTTTATTGAATAAGGACAGTGATAGTCATAGGTGTGGCTCTCTGATGGAATGGATGATACTATAGTTTGCCATCAGAGAAACTTCCTTAATTGTTTCTTCATAGCAACTGTTAAGCAATGATTTTTCACAGTATAATTTTGCTCATAAATACTAGAGAGTTCATCTCACAGTAAAATATTTCAAATTTCAGTTGCCTTATTTTGGAAAACTGTACATGAAAGTTAACATTTTCTGTTCCTAAATGGTTCTCATCAAGTCTGTTATTGCCATCATTATTGGCACCATAATAACTCAGTTGGCTCTGTAGTTGGAGTGTATTACTACACATCGACATGCCTGTACAACTTTGTGAAAATAGTAGCATGAACTAATTTTACCAAAGCATACTAAATTACTTCATATTAATTTCACTCATTGGTCAACACATCTGCTTTCTAGTGAAATTCATTTGAAAAATACTGTCGACATTACTATTAGGTAAATTACTTGTGATAATAAGATCAATAGTTGCTTTGTTAGCCAATGGTGTTCAATTTTTCCTGGGAGAAAGAATTTAGATTATGAGTGTCTTTCCAGTCACTAACTGTTCAATGTTTCATATTGCAAAATAAATTAGGTTATAAATTAGCTTTAATTGAAAAGCTACACAACTGACAATACTGATGATATGTATTTAATTTCATAATTATTGGTTTCGAATTGAGGGAATAAAACATAGCTACGGGACTGAATTTGCCGGTTTGTACCAGTTTTACCATTTTATTTGCAAAGGAGAGGAGGCAAAATTGTAAAAAATCTCACCACTGCGCAATAAGCATGAGAAACCATGTAATTAATTTCATAATTATGGGTTTCAAATTGAGGGACTAAAATGTGGCTAAAGGGAGATCAGGTGAAGGGCAGGTTCAGGGCTTTTGTCCAACCAGTTCAGTGCATGAAGTCAACATGCACATTGCATGCACATTTGCAAATGCTATTCATGTCCTACAAATTGTGAATGTAGGTAAAAGTGCCTGAGCTGCACCAATGAAGAGGTTTTATTGCATCGAGGGTAAATGGGACCTTGTAATTTTTCTCTGCCTTATAGTTGGCATTCTATAAATAACCATATATTCCAATTATATTTCACTTTGCAGTCAACGAATATGAAACAATTTATGACGCTAATTACACCAGCATAGATCCCACGATTTAATATTTCATCTCTGAATTTGAATATAAATTAAAATAATTAAAGCAGAACTGTTGATCATTGATTTATAAATTGATCAATTAATTGATAGCATCATAACTACCTACCATATATGACTAACATATATTTGGTTAGCATTATTTCATTTTACTGTACAAATTTTAACAAATCATTAAAGGATCAATAAAATGCTAAATAATATTTCTGGTCTTTATTTTTCTGTGTCTTGTATAAATGTGTAATTTATTACATTTAAGCATTGCCATCCATGCCTGAGAAATTGTAAACATTTCCTGAAGTATGATTCACGAGATCCAGAGCAACAAAGGTTGTGAGTTCACTACAAAACCTGTGTATGTCAGCCTCGCATCATAGTTACACATAGTGGCAAACCAGAGATTTTTCAGAATCAGTTCATTTTTAATTTTCTCATTTACTCAATATTTAAACCAATTTCTTATGTATGATAATGCTGGTACTGGTATGACATTGTTTAACAACATTTTCAGTTCTGTGAAAGTGATTCATGATATTTCAAGAGAATTACCCAATTCCATGGTTAAATATAGATATTCCTCCCACATCCCAAATCTGCACTCATCTGTCAAAACTGCCATAGGCTAATTCTGCACATGTACAAAATTTTAGTACGTCTGTCAGTGTCAGGGAAGTGAAATTTCCACTTGGGCCCAAGTAATTTTACAACATGCCAGGGATGAGTTGAAAAAATATTTCCAAAAGAAATGGCCTCAAAATTTGTTTCAGAATTAGAGCCTAGAACTTGGAGAACAAACAGATATATTCATGTCTTGTCAGGATGGAATTCTAATTTCAAAGGTTCATATATTATTTCGATCCACTAAGACCACTTTTTCTACCCAACATCGTTATTTGAGGCAAAAAATGAACTTTTTAAAGGCTTAAAATATGTATGCTAACTTGCTCAGTTTCTATAAAGTACCTAATCACTTGGAAGTTGTATGCCTGCACCTTTCACTCAACAATTAAAATTAGACTTATAAAAAGTATTAGTTAGTTGAAAATTTGTCTCTTAAGTTGACCGCAATTAACTAAACTTCATTAAGTAATCATTAGGCAGAGTTTTTCATCATGCACACTAAACACGCAATTCAGAGTTCAGACGAGCAGAACTACATAACACGTGAGCTAACGTGCTACTGAATTGAATACCACATCCCGCTAATCTAGCGGGATAATCAATGCAGACGGTAACCGAGTCCAACTAATCACTCTTATACTTAGTGCAAGAGAATGAATAATTATGTTGTTTTTAATCAAACAAACGAAACCTTTTCTGTTTCTGATCAAACGAACGAAAACTTCTGATCAAACGAACAAAAACTTCTAATCAAACAAACAAAAACTTCTGATCAAACAAAACTAAACTTCTGATCAAACGAAAGAAAACTTCTGATCAAATGAATGAAAACTTCTGATCAAACGAACAAAAACTTCTGATCAAACAAACGAAAACAAACTTTTGAAGATAATTCAGAACTCGTAATGTCTATTTAATTCTAATATGGATCATTAATTTAGCATTTTCTGAAATAGTAGGAACATTTCCATTATCATTCTGAAATAGAAGAGTCATTTCCGTTCTTATATATAAACAGGATTAATAAAATACCTATCAAATCCATCCAATGCCATTCAATGTGTGATGTATGAAAGACAGTTTTACTTTCATTCCTATGGTGCTCATTTTTACCAATTGAAGCTGTAGAATTAAATTAAATTAAAAAATTAATTAAAATTAAATTTTACTAAATCAAATTTTATTATTTAATACACTAGATGGTACATGCTGTAGAATTAAATTCTATTAGAAAAATGTTGAATTAAAAATCTGATTATATTTTTTAAATTAAAAATTAATATTTACTAAATTAAATTGTATTATTAATGCACTATATGGTATGTGTTCTATGTTTTATATAATGAAATAGTTTCCCATGTTAAACAACATTTTCTAAAAGACACAAAACGTTCGAAAACGCGTGATGGCAGACGAAATCAGTCAGAATTTGAAATGAATTTATCAAGATAAATTCAACATAATAGGGTAAAAATGGAAAAAATTCAAATCTGGAATGTATAAATGGGTTTTTATAATTCAAAAAAACTTTCAATCATTTAAATCTCAGAATGGAATGTGAATCAAATCTATTTATTGTGAAATCAAACAAGACACAACCAAACAAAAGAGTGTGTGATGGCGTCCTGTAATTACATAAACATAGGAAGTATGATGTGAATGTACGCAGTGAAAAAGTAGAAGTTCATCTCATAATTTTGTGTGAAATCAAAAACTTTGTTGGTCTTTCCAATCGTGAGAATTTTTTACAAATGTGGACGTGTTTTTTTTTTATTTTAGAACGTATTCATTGCAAAAATTTGTCTACTACCCTAGAGATAGACGACTAGTTAACTTGATTGAGGCGTTGCCAACACAGGATTGGATGTCGAACCACGCGCGATTTCGGAAGTGTGGCTGCTGCGGCAGTTTCTAATGTGCTCAGTTTATCAATTTTCATTGCAGTGGAAGGTGGTGTGATGCGGTGGTAGCCTGGTAGGGTTTTTTTTTTATACGTTTTCTTATATTGACATTAGAATATATTACCTATACAGAATTCCACATAACAGTCTTGTCTCAATGTAATAACCTAATTCAAATTAAATCAAATAACAACAGAATTACCAATTGGAAGTTGTCATTTACCTACTGATAGTGATGATTTAGATGCGTGGAAGTTTGGATTGGAAATTTGGAAGCATGAACATCAGGATTATCAGTTGTGGAAAGGAAATGGTCAAGTCTATTAGGCTACACAATTTAAAAAAATGTTTTAAGCTAAGGAAAGACTCAAGAAATTTTTAAGTAGGCTAGAAAGAATTCAAAGAAATATATTGAGCAAAGATCAATGCTAATTGAGTGAAGTATGCTGCAGCATACTACCGAATTTACAAATACCTAGGACCTATGTAGGTAGGTAGCCTAATTGACATTTGACACAAATTCACGTGATGAATTCAGAATTAGGTTACTTAGGTAGGTAGGCTAGGTACGCAGGACGAGCATTCAAATCTGGACAAGATTCCCAATTTCCCAACCATTAAGAGATTTAGGACCGATACTGGAGAGGACTCAAATTTAATTAGCCATAATTCTTTTAATTATATACCTACATAATTTTTAAAAAAGTGAACTTTTTTATCAACAATTAAACCCAAAAATCTACGGGACACGCGGCCGCTTTAAGGCTAGGTGAGAATACACATGACGCACTTCCGTCTAGATGAAAAATTTAATAAAACAAGGTTGAACGACGAATATATACACGGATGACGAGTTAATCCTAATTTTATTATATTTTCATTCAGTATTTACCTTATAATAGGCACCGCCAGGGCCTAAAGCTTCCACAAACAACTCGTCCATCTTGACTACCGGCAGTGCATGCTGGGTAATTCTATTGCCACAACAGTACAGGAGCACACTAAACCTTCAAGGTAATCAAACGTTTAGCGAAAAACACATCTGTGGTGTACAGTGGTTAGTAGAAGCAACAAAAGAATAAAAATGTATTCATGTACGAGATCCAAAGAAAAATGGTCATACATGCTTTTTGTATTTAATTTCCTAAATCAAATGCGCAATATTAATCCTCAAAATATTTTATTGCAGCGGCCCTAAAATATAAATAGTGAATTTCCAGCCAAAAAAACCCATGATCGATTTTTGTGATATAGTGCCGTTTGAAGAAGGAACATTATAATAATAATAATAATAGCGGTTTCAGCGTTTATTAGGCCGAAGGCCTGTAGCCGATTCTTAACATCCACAGCTTGGTGCGAGTCTCGAACTCGCAATTCGCTGCTTCAATTTTTGCTTTGCTCAACCGCCCGTCCTCCTCGCCGATTCTGACCAGAAACTGGCGCACAGAGCTGGGATCGAACCCGCGCCTCTCTGCTCCAATCTTGGTACTCTGAACTGTAACCACTGGGCCACCCTGCCCAACCACTGCCGTCCTGTACCGCATTGCAACACTAATGTTTGGTATTTCACCGTATTTGTCGTCACAAGATATTACTATTTGCATAATATACTGCTAAACTATATAATAAGCAACGTTATAATGGTAGTGCTGATTGAATTTGACGGTAGGTCGGCCACTGAGACCTGCGCCTGGCACGCGGTAGGAGCAGTAAATCTTGACCATTTTATCTAGCGTTAGGCAGTAAACATATCCAAGAAGTGATAAATAAACCGTGTCTATGATCTAGAGAGCATTCACGTGAAACCTGAAGCTGTAAATGTCACAAGTGGAACGAGCCGCATTTTGGGGCCAACAGCTCTAATATTGTATAAAGCCTAATGAACCGCTAAGTGCTCTAAGGTAACTTCAACTTCGGATTGTTCCTTAACAGGTACCCGCGGTTTTTAAATTCACCGCTTCCATCGAGATAGTTTTTCAGTTTGATCGATTTGGCAACGGTAACTCAGAATGTACTTCTACATACTTCTTACGCGATTAGTTTCTTCGATGCTCCAGGTTCAGGTACCTTCTTAACACCGCAGACGTTATCAATGTAGAGCTGTGCAGACTGATCAATTCTAATTCACGAGTCCACGTTTCACCACAGGTGAATACTAGTGCTTCTTAATTGCGTTGCTACTAAGGTATTGAAAGCGATAATCTACAATCGTTCCCCAGCAAGTTGATGTGATTACATATTCAACAGGATTTTTGGTAATCATTAAAACATAGCTGAAGGACAAAAAAATGGACAATGATCTAATATTTTAATAGAAAAATCATCGAATCCGAAATAAAGGAACAGAATAGAGAAGTCGCAAAAGGAATGTTCAACATTATTCCACTAAGATTTCGATAGGAAAAGTATAAAAACGCACGAAAAATTTGGAATGTGCATAAAGTAATCGATCTGTAATAATAATCATAAATCCGTAGCGTCGAACTAGAAGGCTTAGGCATACTCGCCCTCAACCTCTCCCTCCTCCTCGAACTCTCCTTCATCGTCGGCGGTCGCCTCCTGGTATTGCTGATACTCAGACACCAAGTCGTTCATATTAGACTCGGCCTCGGTGAACTCCATCTCGTCCATACCTTCACCAGTATACCAATGCAAGAAAGCCTTGCGCCTGAACATAGCTGTGAATTGCTCAGACACTCGCTTGAATAGCTCCTGGATGGCGGTAGAGTTGCCGATAAATGTGGCTGACATCTTAAGACCGCGTGGAGGAATATCGCACACTGCTGTCTTCACGTTGTTCGGGATCCATTCCACGAAGAATGAGGAATTTTTGTTTTGGATGGTGTACATCTGATCGTCGACCTCTCTCATAGACATACGGCCACGGAAGATGGCAGCGACAGTGAGGTATCGACCGTGACGAGGATCGCACGCAGCCATCATGTTTTTGGCGTCGAACATTTGCTGGGTGAGCTCAGGCACGGTGAGGGCGCGATATTGTTGAGAACCACGGGCAGTGAGGGGAGCGAAGCCTGGCATGAAGAAGTGCAGGCGTGGGAAGGGCACCATGTTTACGGCAAGCTTCCTGAGATCAGCGTTGAGCTGACCAGGGAACCTCAGGCACGTCGTCACACCAGACATGGTTAGGGAGACCAGATGATTAAGGTCACCGTACGTAGGGTTCTGCAGTTTAAGGGTACGGAAGCAAATATCGTAGAGAGCTTCGTTATCAATACAGAAAGTTTCGTCTGTGTTTTCAACAAGCTGATGGATTGAGAGAGTTGCATTGTAGGGCTCAACGACGGTGTCTGATACTTTAGGGGAAGGCACCACGGAGAAGGTGTTCATAATTCTGTCTGGGAACTCTTCCCTGATCTTGGAGACGAGCAACGTTCCCATGCCAGACCCGGTGCCGCCGCCGAGTGAGTGTGTCAACTGGAAGCCCTGCAGGCAGTCGCATTTCTCAGACTCTTTACGAACGACGTCCATGACTGAGTCTACCAGCTCGGCGCCCTCCGTGTAGTGGCCCTTCGCCCAGTTGTTGCCAGCGCCGCTCTGGCCTGGAAATAAAAGTTTCCGTGAGATTCAAGAGCGAACATTGAGTGTGAAGGAAAACTGACAAGGCGAAAACCTTACTCAACACTTTTCAACTTAAAAAATATAAAAGAGGGAACGGGAGGCCAGCAATGGAGCAACGAAGAAAGGGATGAACTGTATTCTACCTTTAAGTTAAGTTACTGCAGCTTATTAACTTTGAACAATACGAAAGCAATAGATAGGGATCTCAGAGTTTGAGTTCAGTGCACCATGGCATGAAGTCGGTCTTTAGCACCACTTACACGCAAGAGAAAATGCATCATCGATTCCAATGCATTAGCCAGAGTAACAGCGTGACAATGATTAATCTTCTGTGCACTTGGAAGAGTGCACCAAGTCACGAGTCAAAGATCACGTTATGTTTTGCCTCAACTAGTATCCAAGGTATATAATCAAAGGACTCGGGGAAACGCGTTTTACGATCCTAGGCCAACTAACAAAATCTGTAAATAGGCCAATGCGAACTACTCCTCAGCTGGTGCTGAATTGTTGCAAACTTCTCTGCAGGTGAGAAAGGTTTAGTCACAATAGATTCACACCATCAACGACGAAGTCCTGCTAAGTCCCCACCCGACCGTAAGCATGGATTAGGAGCTTCAAATATTCACAAAATAAATCGTGATAAAAATAGAATAAGAGACGAGACGTACCGAACACGAAGCTGTCGGGTTTAAAGAGCTGGCCATGAGGACCCGCCCTGACGCTGTCCATGGTGCCGGGTTCCAGGTCGACCAGCACGGCGCGGGGCACATACTTGCCCTGCACACACAAGTTCTCTCAGTTCAATTGTTCTTGTACATGAACAATAAACAGGTTTAAACTTTAAAAATTCTCAACACCCGTTTTAATCCCAGTACCAGCCTCATATGTACGAATCTATCGATTATAATGAATCCGAAAACGAAAAGAACAACGCACGCAGGACACCAAAACAGTTGGAACTCCCAAGGGACCTGAGTGCATCTGTCAAAATGTCAGGTGCATCTGAGCAACTGCTTTTTTCAAAAGAGTACAAGTAAAAGTGAAAAGATAAAATCCAACTTTACCCGTGAATATGATCTTACTTCTTCCAAGTAGTTGTTATGTAACCCGATTGAACGTAGTTGCACCGAGCTATTAAGTGAAATTATTTGGCTAGTTTCGACCATTAACTTACGTACATTTAACGGCGAACGAGCGCTGTTATGACTATAGTGATTCAAGACCCACCCAATCTGAGTCTTTAAACCCGAGTTGTTAATCTCTATAAAAAATCATCTGAAACACTGTGCATCCAAGAACTCTTTAGTATCTTAATTACAGTGATGATCAAGTTGGCTGAATCGAGCTAATAAACTCGCAACTGCATGCCAACAGAAAGGCACCTGAAATTATAAGGCAGCCCTTCCTTGAAATTATGAGGAAATATTTTGCTTACAATAATTTTTTTGCACCAAGTGTGCACTTCTTATGCTTGTAATACCCGATATCCAAACACCTGAAGGGTTAACGTTAGGCTAACCTAATCGCCTAACAACTTCCTGCAGAAAAGCTCACCTGGTTGCCCTCGTTGTAGTAGACGTTGATGCGCTCGAGCTGCAGGTCCATGAGCTCCTTGCTGGTACCCGAGTACTCCCCGGTGGGCTGGATGCCATGCTCATCGCTGATGATCTCCCAGAACTGCACAAAGGGTTTAGATATTTTATGTAATGATTATACTTTTCAACATCACTCGTTACTAAAAATTGAAAAAATTAGGTGCTATGGCACAGATTATAGTACACTAGTTTTTGGTATGGTATGCAGATGACAAGTCAGGAGAAGCAACCCAAGTGCTCTCAAAATTGCCAGATATAAAAATTTAAACGCTATACTAAAGAGTACAGAAAAACCCATCTCGTCTGAACCCTTAAAGAATCAAGCTTCCACTATTTGAAGTCTTAATATTTTTCTTGCAATTACCAAATAATATTTTTGATCGAGGTGGGGCATTTAGCATGGGCAAAAATTCTGGATGCACAAAGACATTAGGCTGAATTCAAATTATTTGATGTAATGTTTGAAACAAATTTCAACTAGTTAACTGAGAAGGCATGCAAGAAAGGCAGTAAAATATACATCACATTAATTTTGTTTGTAGAAGCTGATAAAGAATGCCATGGTGAAACAGATAAGATTTGGTGCTCGTGATATGATAAGTGGCAGAGTAACAAAGGGTACAGCCATGATTCACCACACTCGAATGAATGAAACAAATGTTAGACACCATAACCAGCTTGATGGAATATCTTCAGTTAGCACTCAAAACATTTGATCTTTGCTTCGTTTAGAAACTCACCACCAATATTTTTCATCTGAACAGTAGTTTTTGCTAACCATACCAGATGGTTGTGGCAGATGTCATTTTCTTTCAAGATAAAAGAAACATTTTGCTTAGCATACACATACAAATTTCAGATGGGTTTACTATACAAGGCTATAATTGTAATTTTTAGTTCATCGATGGTCTGACTTTGTCTTTATCCTCACTAAAACGGAATCATTTCAAAACAATGCATCACATTCAGGTCAACAAGAAATAAAAATGTAAAAAAAAACTGAAAAAGCAGAAAATTATATAAAATCTTAACTCAGTTAAAATGAAATCAGAACATCTGAAAAATGGGATCAAGGGGATATTCCAGGGCAATTGTTTATAAATACAAGTAAAGCCCCGTCCACACGTTCAAACTTATCGTCAGTCTTGCATGTCATGCCAGGTTTGAGCGATTTTGACGGAAGACTGAAGAGCGTCCACACGCTCAAACTTTCCTTCAGTTTTTAGTGCGTTCGCGACAATGGAGGAGGCATTGCTGCTCGTTGTAGCTAGTGGGCGCAGGTTGTGCCAGCATAATTAGGTTAAAGCGATGCAAACGTACGCGGTGGTTCCGAGAATAGATTTAAAAAATACAATGAGGGTTGATAGACTAGACAGCATCCCTACCAGCACCAGACAGCATTGACGACTTCATTTTGGCACATTCTTTTCGATAAAGTTTTTTTCTTTGCTACAAAGTCTCTGTTTGCTGTATGATCAACTTCTTTGCACTTAGCGATCAATGCCGCATAGGCCAGTGCTCTCTTGTTCATGTCACTGTTGCTTTTTGATCGAATTTACCATAAACATGGGAAACTACGATATAACTCCATAAACTCGCCAAAATAAATCGTAAAACCAGTGTCGGATATCCTGGGATATGAAAAACTAGAGCTAGCGAGGAACAATGTCACAGCTCTCTCATCATCAATATAGACTGAGATAGAGTAAAAGTTCGACTAATTAGTCGGTTGCCCGTCCACACGCTCAAACTTATCGTCTGTCTTGCATGAACCAAAAGGTCTCGCCCGTCCGTCTTTTCCAGGTTTGTCAAACCTCAAACTCCGCCCACCCGTCATGCAAGACGTCAAACTTTGAGCGTCCACACGCTCCGTCTTGTCGTCAAACCTGGCATGACATGCAAGACTGACGAAGTGACGATAAGTTCGAGCGTGTGGACGGGGCTTAATACGTCTTCAAGTGAAGATGTTTGAAATCTGCTCATTGCAAGTCTGAATTGACAGGACTCAGCAGGGGGCAAAAGTGACTTGAGCATGTAAAGAATCTATCAAGTCTCCGAGAGAGCCACAAACAAATGCCCTGGATATGGCTGCTCAAGACTCAAAGTAACAATATCTCAGTGAGAATAAAAGATATAATCTAGCAACTTTGAAACGTCAGTGCATTACAAACCAGTTGCATTAAAATTGACTTGCAATACCAAGATAATTCCAAGGTAAATTATGCAAGAGTGAAGAATTATTCAAACGGAATTTCAGAGAACTACTACACAAAAGGAGGTATACACATTTCCATAGATAAATGAAATAGAATGCCATTAGGCTGATGAGTGAAGAGATATTATCTGACAACAATAATTTTAATTATATCTAAACACCCATAATAAAGATGTCCATAATAAAGCAGTCTATCACTAAAAAATTAACCAGAAATTACATTACATTGTATGGTGACTAAATCCTCAATAATTCATTAACACAGTACAAGGTTTGCCAGCCTTCAGTAGAGCATTCACAACAAATTTGAATCCAAAGTAAAAAATCCAGCAAAAACCTTTTTTTTTTTAAACCGTGCTTGTCAATTTTATAAAATACTTCCAACATTGAAGAGATTCAATTACCAAAAGGGAAATCGCACAAAAGCCACTTGTGAATCCAAGCTGGAATACTGGGCAAAATTTTCTGTACTCAACTGAACTGTTTGGTATGGATAAAAAAACTTGCTTTTAAGTAAAGTTTCAATATATCTTAGGCCTATACAACTAATAGGTACAAGTATTATTTTCTATAGAAGAAATTAACAAATTAGGCAATGGTCCTCATATAAACAGTTTCAACCAACTGCAAGCAGACATTTTCATTGCATTCAGGAGTGGCTTTTCCAATCCCAAGCAAATTTTTCACAATGTCTAGGTATCCACTAATCAGACTGGTATCAGGTATCAATGAGACAAAAATACAGTCCATTACTCAGCCTCATGGCTAATTTTATCCATTTCATGACGGTTAGGCTAGGTATGCAAGATTGACAAATCCCAAATTTGGTATTATTGCAGATTAACTACATCCAAAAAACAGGGTGTTTTTTTTTTTAATTATATGTTTTTTGGGGTGTAGATTACGAATCTGAAATCCATTTTTGGCGGTCGGCATCGGAAAACCGATTTTTTTCCGACCCAAAAATCGCGCTAAAAATGCCTAAAATCTGCGAAATCGGCGAAAAATCGGATACTTACCCGTTGCACTGCAACGGGTAAAGAAGACGAAAATGTTACCCGTTGCACTGCAACGGGTAACATTTTCGTCTTTGTCCATAAATCTGGAGATACATTGCCACATCGAGAGATCACAACCTAACGCCAACTCGCAGGTTGGGTTGGTTCGCGTTCGCCCAGGTTCCTTTTAGATCAAAATGCTATCTAAAAAAAGGAACTTGGCTGACTTAACCCAACCTAAGAGCTTTTTGTAAAATTTCGATGAACAATCCGACCCTTTATATAAAGGTGAGTGGGTAACAGAAGTTACGTAACCCCCATGTTAGTAAATAAAGGTGAGTGGGTAACGTAAGTTACGTAACCCCCATGTTAGTAAATAAAGGTGAGTGGGTAACGTAAGTTACGTAACCCCCATGTTAGTAAGTCGCGAAAAAAATCTGTTTTCCGATGCCGACCACCAAAAATGGATTTCAGATTCGTAATCTACACCCCAAAAAACATATAATTAAAAAAAAAACACCCTTTTTTTTGCATGTAGTTAATCTGCAATAATACCCCAAATTTTACTAAAATCTCATGAGTCATGGCTGAGAAGTAAGAACCAACATTTACGAAAAACTTCAACCAGTTCACCTGACAGCAAAAGTTTAATTGCTCAATCATCAAGACAGAAAAATTCATGTAGCTGAAATCCTTTACTTTTTTTGCCTCTTCTCAAGTTCATTTTTTGAGTCCTATAAGTAAACTACCTAGTACTAGCAAATCAGCAATATCATAAAAAAATTTTAAATTAGACCAGCTAGCTAGCTACTAGTAGCCTAGCGAGTAAATGAAGATAGCCACCTATTAATAATGATCCAATTCTAAAAAGTCTCCAGTTTACCACTATGGCTAATGGCTATCAGAAATGAGAATAACTTCACAATGGGTCAGGAAGTAGATAGTAGCTAGCTAATCCATCATTTAGGTAGTATGGAGTGGTTTCATGCAGGGCTGGAAAAGTCCCATTTCTGTCTGAAATATCACGGCTCTAATATCATATAATTTCAGTAGGTATGAAATCTCGCCGCTCGAATGTCATAAATTTTTGTTTGATTGAAAAATCGCGGTTTGCACTTTACAAACATATCACTTCATAAAATTTTCAGCTTTCGCAATCCGCATTGCTTTACCATTCCCGGCAAAATATCCTGCAGAAAAAACATGAACATCGTAATGTAAACAAATCAACTAAACGTTTTGTTGAAGAATGAAGATCAGGCATAGTTGCGGTAATGTCAAAGCGGTCAGACTGCATTAACATTAACACGTGCTCAACTTACACTTTACAGTAAAGACAAATTTTATTGTTGCCATTTGACTGTTTTAGGGTAAAATTAGAGATTTTGGGTAACACGTGCATCATGCATGGACTTTGTAAATAAATTTGCGCCTCGTAAATGGCTTTTCATGGCCAAGATATGGAATTCACGGCTCAGTGAAATGGAATCACAGCTTGAAGAAATATAATCATGGCTGGCAAATCAATAAAACCACGGCTCGAAAAATTCAGTCGCGGCTTGCCACATAGTGGCAAAGCAGAGAGTTTTTTTAGACTCTCCCTCAAGTTCATTTTTGAGTCATAAAGGTAGACCAGTAAAGTATCCTGGATACCAGCATTATCATACATAAGAAATTGGTTTATACCTTAGGTAAATGAGGAAATTAAAAATGAACTGATTCTAAAAAATCTCTGGTTTGTCACTATGGCTTGCCAAGTAGATATATTCCATGCCTGGTTTCATGTAGCCTAGGTACCTACCTAAAGTTGTAAAAATCTAACATTTTTGCAAAAAAATCAATTAGCTACCAGAAAATTTACTGGAACCAGAATGACTAGTGCAAATAATTAAGCGACAAGTTTTCAGATAATTAAAATAGCTAAGTAGATTTTTCTAATGGCGGGAAATGAGTCACAGCAGTGACGGGCGCTGCCTCATTTTATCGATCAACTCGAGGATCATGCAACCCGCATTAGACTCGACAGAAATTGCGAATTATGATTCGAAATAAATAAATTATCTTCAAAGCTACAAACTAAAGTTGTTTTATCAATACCAAAGCAGTCATTATTATAACGATGAACTAGGAAACCGCATGCCAAAAAAACGCGCCAAAATCCCGCTCTCATATCCTAGACGCCAATGGAGGCGCGGTTCAGACAAGGAGCTTTAGACGGCAGTAATCGACACTCAAAACAGCCAAATAGCAGAAATTAGATAGATTTTTCACAAATTATTGCTAAAAATTACCTTTGTTCCAATCTGGTTGCCGCACTGGCCGGTCTGGAGGTGAACAATTTCTCTCATCTTGAAATATTGTCGTGCTTGCTCAACTGCCACGCCTTGAAAGAGAGATCTGACGGTTACTGGTGCGGTCGTCGGTGAAGATGCGATCAATCTCGAAATATCTGCAACGCGCCTAAACCTACCCCAACAGTACTTTTATACCCTAAACTTCAGCAAATTTTTTCATTGAACTTTGATATAGATACCAATACTCATGTTTATTGATAAGTTTTTTTTTTCCATTTTAGTATAAAAACAATAATCCCTTCTTACAAACACCTTTTCACTCGATACTAGTGCGAATCACTGAATGCAATTCCCAATGGTTATACAGGTTAACTTTTGTACTTCCAACTGATTTCTATTTCTCTAAATTAAACAGCGTACTTCATTCATTCCAAGCAAGTCAAGAACAACAATTTAATTTTCAGGAAATTATCTCCTAATCGATTCAGCTGTAAGCGATTCTTCTCACTAACCTCTCCAACAATATTGCGATCACATCTCAGGTCGATCTCGTCTCCGTGTTTTTTATTTTAAAATTGCGATATAAGAATATTCTACGCCAGTTCTCGGAGGGTGCTATCAACCGCAATTTTCGGTCATGTCACGGTCTCATATAATAGCTCCTTCTCCCTGTCCATTGGGCGTGTCTTCGTTTGACAAAGGATAAAAATTTGATCCGAGTTAGTCAATGTCTCAGAATAGAAGTAAGTGACATAACTCTCGTGATTACAGGTACATAAATACTCCTAGAACATAAAGTAAAAAATTTGAAATGTTGAATCTGCTTTAATATCTTGCGGGCATTATCTTCTGACTTAAAGTCTTTATATTATAAGTTTTAATACACGGTTGCAACGACAGAGTGACGATGTCGAAGTCGACAATGAAAAAAAGATTTAGGAGTTAATATCGACAATAAGTTGAAATTTACGAAACATATTGAAGGTCAAGTTAATAAATCCAATAAACAACTTGCGCTGCTCAGACGCTCTTTCGAGTTCCTAGATGCAGAAGCGATGAAGCAGTTGTTCGTTGCTGTCGTGCGCCCGAACCTAGGAGTTTGGAAACGTCGTGTGGTCACCGAAACTTGAAAAGGACAAAAATTTAATAAAGAGTATTCAAAGACGTGCAACAAGGATAATTCCGGGCTTGAAAGGCAAGTCCTATGAGGAAAGATTCAAGATTATGAAGCTTCCAAGCCTCAGTTATCGACGACTGCGTGGGGAACTCATTGAAGCATACAAGTATACTCATGGCTTATACAAGGTCCCAGAAGGATTAATAGAATTTGAAACAAGAACCAACACCAGGGGCACGGCTATAAACTAAAAAACTGCGTTGTAACACATCCATGCGACAACATTTCTTCTCGCTTCGAGTCACCGACATGTGGAACAGCCTCCCTGTTAGCATCGTTGACGCTCCGAGTATAAACGCCTTCATGAACAGGCTAGACGAAGCTATGCAGGAGTCTTAAATTGCCTAGCAAATTTGTTCGGTCTAAAAATGCCTAGCAAATTACGGACCAGGCAATAAGTCCAGCAGCTATCTCAATCAATCGTCAGTTATGGAAAAATCGGGTTCCAAAGGCTGGATCCCTTGTGAATCAAGTCACGAAAAATTCAAGAATCGGCAACAGGCCATGGGCCTATTTCTTCAGTGCCGACATTTCTATTCTAATCTATTATATTGTAACGAATAGATTTATTAATTTGTGAATGGATTAGATAGTTGAAACCTTAATATTGCCAATATCGTGCGAGTCTTATATCCACACTCCACACCAGCGTATCTTCCATGGCTTTGTTTGCATCTCTCAATAACTCGGCATGTTAAAAATGAGCACACTGCTTGAAAATGAGCACCAATGGGCACACAAGTTCCAGATGAACAACTATATACGGGTTCCAAATGAACGTCAATGAAATGAGCACACTGCTTGAAAATGAGCAATAATGAGCACACAGGTTCCAGATGAACCCCAATTAGCATACGGGTTCCAAATGAGCATCAATGAGGTCTCACGTCCCCCATTCACACACCTAGCTTATATATATATAGGTGTGTTCGACAATCGTTTCTGTACGTAATCTTTATTCAAAAATTTCATTCCATTTATCTATTTTTTATTTCACCCTCGCCTGACTTCGCCATAGGAGGAAGATAACACCAGGACTCGAGTCAAGGGGCCGCACTATTATATTCAGTTGCGATGTATTATAATAATAGCGGTTTCAGTGTTTATTAGACCGTCGGCCTGTCGCCGATTCTTAACATCGCAGAATATTCACAGCTTGATGCGGTCTCGAACGCGCAACTCACTGCTTCAAATTTGCTTTGCTTAACCGCCCGCGGCCTCCCTCGCCGATTCTGACCAGAAACAGGCGCACAGAGCTGGGATCGAACCCGCGCCTCTCTGCTCCAGTCTTGGTACTCTGAACTGTAATCACTGGGCCAACTTCGTCAGCCAATTGCTGACGCCTTTTCAATCTAAACCGAAGAATCAAAAACGGGAAACTGGCTGCTATGACGTACATGTAGGACGCTATGCGTCCTTAAGCCGCTACGTGTAGTTAGGCTGCTACATGTCCAAAGGCCGGAAAGTGCACTTAGGCCGCTACGTACGTGTGGGACGCTATGCGTACCTAAGCCGCTACGTGTACATAGGCCGCTACGTACATGTAGGACGCTATGCGTACATAAGCCGCTACGTGTAGTTAGGCCGCTACGTGCACCTACTAGGCTGCAACGTGTACTTAGGCCGGTTCGTGTACTTGAGCCTGTACGTGTGCTTTGGATGCGATGTATACATAGGCCGCTACGTGTACTTCAACGAGTTTTGATAGTACTGTCCCGATCCAACAACGGAGAATGGTCATTATTTGCAGGCAAATTAAGTAATTTATTTGACTGGGTATTTTGCACGATCCTAAGAGGCCCACACGCACCTTTTTTTCTCCCATCCGGGTGACTTTTTTATGATTGATTTCCATATTTTCAGAATTAATGACCTCATGTGGTGCGGTGTTAGGTCACCTTACTTCTCTCTGTCATTGCTTTTCGTGTAAGTGCCAGGCGCAGTCTGCTGCCGATATAGCGACTTCTAATTTCTGTTCTTTAATTGTTTCTTAAGATACACAAGATACTTGCCATCCACCTCAGAGGAAGGAGTATTCAGCACTTATAACATAATTTATCTGTCAGATTCGGTGAGAGACGAATAGTTTTGGAGTGATAGTTATTCACACTAGCTAGTTACATGGAGAGTCCTTCACACTACCCTCCTTCTGGGATAACATGAACTTCAATGATTTTATAAACCATGTATAAAGTTTATTTGTCGCGTGAATGTGTACACGGCATGAGAAATTGAGTTATATACCTACAACATGTGACGCAAAATTCCGTAGAGTTTGCGTAAATTATTAACAATTTTTAATATAGAAAAAATTTACAAGTGGAGTCATCTGGGTTGGATAATTGAAGCGATCCATTGTTTTGCCGGTATGGTACAAAGTGTAGATTTTGAAACTGAAAATAATATAGATGGAAATTATGCACTAAATTGAAGTTACAACATGAAATCTTCTAAATTACTTCAAACAGAAACCCTTTATATTCAAAACCTCTAGAAACATCGTTTCTGTTTTCAACTACCGTAACTACGTATTTTCCGAATGCAACTCGGGGTGTGTCAAGGAAAATAAAGCGCTAAACCAATATTTAAACAACTTTATTGAACGAAGTTAATACTAAAACAGTACATTATCTAGGTATAATATTCACAATGAGCCACAGTAATTCGTGCTGAAGTTAAAGTTATATGGGCATGAGAACGCCGCTGTTTAGCATATTCTTGTTCATTAGAACGGCGTCGTATTGAGCCTCATTATATATCAACGACTGCCTTTTGAATAATTTTTCTTACCGGGAAAAAACACACGTGCAGAATTGACAAATCATCATTAATAAAGTTAATTCAACATAGCTAAAAATGTAGGAATAACGTTTATGAGAAATAGAAACTTTAACAACAAACGGCAATGATTAAAAATAAAGCTTTGCAGCAAGTTTGCAGTTTAATTGATATGAAAATTGTCACATAAATATGTATTGTTCCATTCATATATAAATAATGCGGATATTTATTGAGCCTGAAATACAAACCAGATTATAACTTGTTTGCATGACAATTCATGGATCGAAATGAAAATAATCATCAATTATCTTCAGACTGCTTACTACATGAAACCAAGTATTTAGTATTAGGTAAAATATTATGAGGAGTATAATGTTTTATAGGGAATTTATTTATTAACTATTATTGGGATTCTTGCAGGTGACTTCACAATATGTAAAATGAAGCCGTATATACGCTATACAAATCCTCGCCTGAAGTTTGAATCATACAATAATTGATATAATTATAGGCCAGAAATCACGTTCTTTTCTCCACAAGTTATTGAAAAATATTTTAGATATGTGATAAAGTCTTTGCTAAATTAAATAATGTTATGTTATCTCAAGATGGCAATTACGTAAGAATAAATGCATGTTAATTGAGTACAGCAAACCTAGTCTTCTTCTTGTGAGGTGCTTGAACGACGAGTTAATGCAGTGTGACATTAATCATATGGTTAATATAATACAGTTAGCTCAGTTAATACGAATAAATTGCATACTCAATGAGCAATATAGATTATGTGCTTCACACAATACTTTAATAATTTATTAATATTACTATTAAGATTTGACTATCATCCAAAAGCTTTAAGTCTATTCTATCAGTTTTCATCAGCAATATAAATCTAATTTGACCTTAGGGAGTTTTCGATAGACGCTTTAAAAAAAACTCGCATGCTCACTAAACGGTCGGTTAACAATCAAGTTTTGATGGAATTTTTGAATATTCTGATATCAGAATGAGTAAGCAATGTAAATATTTGTAGAGTTTTTATGTACTAAAATTAGAAAATAAACATGCCCGGTATGCTGCGACTGGCTGCGACTGTCGTGTAAGCGAAGGGAACGCGATAGTCATTTGTTCTTTGAGCGCAAATGCGCTGCGTTCAAACAAATGCATGAGTTATTACTGCATG